TTTCCCTATGAATGTATGTATGAGGCTTTTTTTAAGGGTCACTCCAACTGAGCTTTCCATTACTGGTATGTACTCTCATGAAGAAAATGTTCTCATTTAACTCCAAACCAAATCTGGATTTCTGTAGATGGGAAAGTAATGCATGAGAATCTGTTCCCACTCTCCAGTATCTTGCATCAGTTTACAGAAACACAGTGTTAGCAGAATTATGTTTAAGTTATATGACTGCAAGTGCACAGAAACAGCTCAATACTTTCTTAAAACGACTTATCAGTTAAGTAGCATCCACATTATCAAGATGGGGAAAACACACACTGATTTTTCCTCTAAAACACAGTATTTTTCCCTCAGCATCACTGGAAAAGAACGTGCTTTAGGAGTATAGCTAGCAACATCATAGGCTATGTAACCGTCACTTTGACGTTGACTCACAAAATTGAAGTCCTGTCTCAAATGGTTAAACACCTACTTAGAAGAGGAGAAAAAAATCTAGTCAAAAAATGTGTCCTCCCTTTGGCAATTATGAACGAAGGAAGGAGAACCTCTCCATGCTACAGGAAACAACAATATACCTTTGGCATAAGGCTCACAGCGCTAATCATGAGTGGATTTGTGAGATGGCCAAGCACAGTACTGGGGCAGGTCTCAAGCCCTTGTAATTGCTAACCACTAAGCCAGGAACACACTTTTCCAAGACTGAGTTGCAAGAACCGCTTATAGTCTTATGAACGCGAAAGAACGTACTCCAGCTCCTCCGAACCGACTGAGAAATGTCAACACCACAAAAACGCACCATCATAACCCGGGTCATTCCAGTAGTCAGAGACAGGCATGTCTTGCCACCACCGGAAACCACGCATGGTATTTGAACATTCCTTTTTAGTCCTAGCAAGACCAGCTGTGTAGAAAAGGAACCAAAGACTTTACACGTTAGGATCCACCTCAGGGGAGAGAGATCATACCTGCCCTGTGGTCACTGCAGCTCATGCAAGTATCTCTGAATTGTCTTTCAGCTAGCCATTTCAGATTATGCATGGTATCGTAAGCTGGTGGCACAAAGCAAAGCCCAGCACAACTGATCCTGCAAGTGTTTACTCAACCTCTGGCAAGCAACAGGCTGTCCACACAAACAATGACTATAAATATAGTCCTTATATATAAATATATACCTTCTTTTGTTCAAGAACACACAGAGCAGGAAAACGCAGGCAAGGCTCTTCTGTCCTGAAAATCATGATCCTTAGATCTCAGAGCACATAGGTAACATGTTTCTTTTGCCACTACTGACTGACCTCACTACAGCCAAACTAACCCATCTTCACCTTCCACAGTGAGTAAGCTGGCTAGGCACAAACTTAACACCGCCTCAAAGGCATCCACACATTTATGAAAACCCCAAGAAGGATGGGCCACTAGATTCCTAAGACAACAAGTCAAAATGAGCCCAAGATTGTAAAGAAGATCTGTAGTGTGAGAGAACCAGAAACCCAACAAGTCAGCAGTGCTCCTTTGCTTTCTTGGCCTCTCTTCTCTGTTAGACCTGCTAAGTTAAAACCTTTTCTCATATGACTCCCAATAGCCTTAGCCCAGCAAAAACGCCAAAACAATTAAAAAACCCCACTGCTTGATGAGTATGCACATGCACTAGCAATGTCTATTTCTCTAATGTATTTCATTCTTCGCAAAGATTAGTGATGCTCCTGAAGCAGAAAATGCCGAAGAAAGGTTTGAAGTTGACTGTCTCCTGAGAAGCCAGCAAGGAAGTTTCTACTTCAAACCTGGCAGCAGCGAGCTTAGTGAACTGAAGGCAACCATGCTCCTCCCATCCTACAAATAAAGAACTGCTGAATGCAGTTTAAGCAACTTCCCCACAATAACCATAACTACATATAAATAAGGGAAACAGAGATGCTCAGAAGATACTTAAATCTCAACTACAGACATTTTAGAGAGCGCTGGAACAGGTACTGTCATTTCTTTGCTGTAGAACGGAAATAAATAGTGAGACATCATCATCAACTGCTCTGATTCATGCAAAAGAGCACAAATGGCTGATTATAAATTTGTGGGCGAATGGCTAGGTACAGCTTTGCCTGAAAAATAACTCCTCAATGCAGATTACAGGAATTAATTATTTTCAAATTCTAACAGTCTCTAAAAATTGACTGACTGTGTGGGAAAAAAGAAAAATGTTTAAGTGCATTCTTAATATTCTATTTTTCAAATTAAGGGTTAGAACCCACTCGTGCAAATACGTTCTCTGTCTTTTTGAAATCCAGGCAGGTAATAATGGAACTACTCAAGAACCAGGTTACTCGGAAGTGCTCACAAACCTGTAAACCCTTACAGCAGAAGTTGTGCTCGTCTATAATGCTTACCATCAGATCATAAATACGAAGCAACAGAATACCTACCCATCTACAAGCCCTTGTTGCTTAATAATCCTGTGAGATTCTTCTCTAGAGATTCTGCCATGAAACCAGTGCTGTGTCCTATGAATAACTGGAGGTGAGAGGGAAAAGAGGGAAAGACAGGACAGTTAAAAACAGTAACACGCGCAACAGTTTTTTAACACACTAATTATTTAAACATTTTAAAAGTGGGTATAGTTTCGTTACAGAATATAAAGTATCTTTCATCAGTCAATATAAAAAATGAATATGGAAAAAAATGCACCAGCTGTTGCATCTACTTAATATACCAAGTAGACAGGCATCATCTCCATGTATTTGCTGATTTGCAAGTGTATTTTTAGGTTAACAAGAAGTATCTCTTAAAATTCTGCCTTTTCATAGTTTTTCGAAAATGTTGGGATTAAACAATTCTTAGAATACAATGTATGAGCTAACAAGTTAGAAGCAAGTCCCTTTAATTCTCAAATAATGAAAAGCAGTTTGCCTTGTGCTTTCAAGGGTGGAGTTACCCCCAAATATCTTAATGTTCATTGTTGTATTGTTTTTCAAATGGTATTTTTAAATTCTGTTCAACAGAATAGGAACACAGAATACAAACAGAACAGCTGTGTCTCCTGTAAGAAGTCCAGGATATTAACACGCACCTTCCTATTATTTTAATAAACTTACAATCTCAAAGAGATGTTCAGGACTCACATCACAGGCATCCATATTTTACATTATTCCGTTATGGAATGAATGCTATTTTGAAGATTCCCATTTTTACTCTTTAAAGATTAACAGATCACTCTGACTCTCCTTGTCTAAAATGGAGAACTGACTTCTGGATTGTTTTAAATGGAACCGTTTATGGAGTCTCAATTTTCATGAAATCTGAGTTTCAAAAGATTAAAATTGAAGAAAAGCTTGAGCATGCTGTCAAAAGAAAACAACTTCCTTCTCCTGCGTCTGTATGGGTAAACATCTTAATGACACAGAAGCTACTGATAAACATAAACATAGTATTTGACATCGAGGCATCAATACTACACGACTGCACTCTATCTCTGTCTCTACATGAAATACAACTTTTATTTACCCACAGAGGCCTCTTATACTATGCTTAGAAAACAGCAGACTTTACCTGTACTCAGTGTGGAAGGATGGAGTGGACTTTGGCTACCCAAGATGTTCATTCTTGTGCTACGTTTCTATAGAGAAAATGAATTACCGTTAAATCCACGCTAAAGCCTGAACAGAAGAGAATTAGTGCACATGCAATACAGATTTAATTTACAGGAAACTGGGGGCTGGGCAAGTTTAATGCAAAGATGAGAAAAAGAAATGCAACTCTGAAGGGGGCTAATCTACAAGCAGCAGCTCATTTCAGTTGGCTTAAAACACAAGCCAGATGTTAATGATGAAAGCTCAGTATCTTAAAAAAAAAAAAAAAGGAAAAAAAAAGAACAATAAAGAAAAAATGACAGAAAAAAGAAAAGTCTGATATGTTTCTGCTCAGGCAAAACACCAGGCACTCAGTAAATCAAGCAGTATTTCCCTCCCGTACATAAAGCACCAGCTAGTGCTTCAGTAATGACTCCTATTCCCTAAGAGACGAGCATGTGGGAAAACTTGTACTGCAGCTGTCTGTCCACAAGACACTATAAACAAGTTACATCAGTTTTCATTGCAAGAGGTCCTGCCTCTTGTATATTCTGCAATTAAACTTACTGGGAGCAAGCCATTAGTCAGAGCCCCAGCCTCTTCCATGTGGGGAAGCATTTAATTTGACATATTCCTCCTCAGAGACTGGTTTTGCAAACTGGCAGTAAAGTTCTGGTGGGTCTGCTTTCCCCCTCAACTTTCCTCTGGACACTAGGGGGACAGAGAAGCAGTGGTAGAAGGTTGTTGTGAATGTGACAGTTTTGCTAAAGATGGATATTGACTTTCAGATCTGCATGCTTGCAGTGTGATTGCTTCAGGTCGGAGCTAAGCTATACTGTGACCAGCACTGCACTAACATCATAGCACACTCTGTGTTTTGGCTCTCAACAGACACTTACTAATTACAAAAATAGAAAAGAAGAGAAGATAGCTACCCTCCAAGCATGTCCTTCTTCCAAGGCAGCACTCTGTGCTTCAGCAGGATTTTCAATAACTCTTCCTATTTGCCCCGAAAAATCCATTGCTACTAGTGAGTTTTCAGATACACTTCTCTGAAAAGGAATTTTCACTTGTTTCAAAAAACAGGGAAAGAAAGAACCAGCTTGAGAATTTCATTTCAAAATGTTTTGCTTTCAGAAGACCGTCCAAAGTTATCCTTCAACAGCACAGGAAATACATCTCATTTTTTTTCCCCTTCCAAAAGATTTGCAGACACAAAAATAGATGGCTTTTCTTTTTAGGCCATAGGGGAGGGAGAGGATTCAAAGGCTGGGAATAAAATCTGTATTGCTTAAGTTGCCCACTTGCCCTATTACTATACTCCAGTCATTTTCAGGGCCAGTTGGGATCCAAATATAGGATCTTCACTTCTAGATAGCTAACAGTCAGCTCTTGGCCCAACATATTTTAAGAGATTTACGTCTTACTTTTGCCAGACCTAAGCTGGCTTCTGCAGAGACAGCCAGATGTCTCTGTACTGTACATCTCAAAGTGCCTGACGTATCCAAGATTTCTCAATCATGTGGATCATGTAAGATAATGGAGAGCCAACCACCTAAACTGTACTCAAGTGAAACGTGAACTTTACATTGATTTGCTACACAATGCTGAATTTACATTCCTTAGCGTAAAATTTTCCACTTTTAAAATGCAAAAGCAAATGTATCTTTTCCAACATTGTATATTAATGAGGTAAAGTTCATTACTTACTACCGGAGTGGAGAAGTGTGGAAGCATGGCTTTTCTCTGCTGGGGAATTCTGTAATTCTGATACAGTAGCATTCCATACTGCCAACAGAAATGCAAGGACATTATTATTCAAAGATCTACCCTAGGAAAAAACCAGCAGTGATTTCATAACACCACTTACACTGGAGCAAGGTGCCACCAGTTTATTATTTTCATGATCAGAAGCTGTCCCAAAGCAATTTGCACTAAGTAATAGTGATTGGCAGGTGGCAATCGAGCAGTAAATATGCACGACAAGTTCTGTTTAAAAGACAGCACTTTTACAAGCCTGAGCAAAATACACAGGTAATTTCTGCCACTCTCAGCTATCACCACGTTTTCCTTGCAGAATACAAGCTTTCACTTGAGGTCAGAACACATATGTTAACCCCCACCTCTTTTTACCCTCTAGTAATGTGAACTTAAAAAGAATTCTGCATAAGAAGTTCTGTACAAGAGAATATAAAGATGAAGTAGGTTTTCATGATATAAAATAGGATCCTTTCTAATTCACTAGCTCTTTTAA